GGGTTTTTTTTATCCCGCATTTTTGTCTATCGACGCCCACCACAATACTCTGAACCACGCGTTACATCGCGTTTAAAAATAGAAAAATATACCCCAAAAACGAGACATCAATTAATATGATACCACAGATTTTATCAATTATAAGTAATACAATCAGCTTATAACAATGGGATAAACAAAAGACGTAAGAACACTTATCGCGATTGGTTTGTTTCACGCCAACTTCTGTAATCTAACGAAGCGGTATCGTTGCCATCTTGGTTTGTCAAAATTGAGATAGGTGGCGCTTGCTATCTGCTCCTGAATCAGGGGTAGGTAAGTCTAGATTGACGTGTCATAAAATTGGTGAGGCAAAGAGGGAGTTGCTAATCCCCTTCACTATACGTCCCTGGCTGATCTAAACCCCTAAAACGTGTTTTTGCTCTGAACACCTTATATATAATTGTAACCACGGAATTAGATTGCTATCTAAGTCCGTGTTGTAACCAATTATGACGTACCTGTGCAATTTACAAGACAAATATATAGTTCAGGCAATATACAATAAAAAAAATATACCTCAAAGAGATAGACATTGAACGCAATCCACGAGCAGAATGTGCACACTTACCAGATAAAAAAAAAACTATTTTCTGTTCTGCACGGAAATAAAAATAGTCCAGTCTATTTTTATTGACATAAACAAATATGCCTGTGAGACGGACTTAAAAAGTTCATACCTGATGTGTAAGGTAAAACAAATAATACCCACTGATGGTTTATATCTATATAGAACGTCAAATCAGGCGCAGCTACGGTAAGCAAATATAACTTAACGGCTTTACAACACATTCTTGAAACAGGAATGTTGGATTTGTAATTCTGAGTGCAGTTCGACAATCGATAGTATTCATGATTCGATCTTCTTATTTTTAAGGGGGGGGGGGGGGGGGGGGTAGTAAAGTTATTTTCGTTCATACAACGGACTTCGGTATAATCTAATTCCGTGTTCATACCAATAACGTTTCAGCCTGCTTTTGGAGAGGGGGGACCTTAATATTGAATAGAGTAAGCACACGCTCTCAAAAAGCCACCAAATAGCACAGTACTACAGAGGATGTAAATATCTAAACTATCTTTTTCCAGGATGGGGGCTGCCCTACGATGGCTTGGTGATAAACTTTGCGTGCCCATTGTTCACAGTCCAGCTACACTCATGCTTATAAAAAAAATCCTCCATATTAGGTTCATGCAGAATAATACAGTAAAACTGTAATTGACGATTTTCATCCCCCTGTGCTGAGACCAGAGACCTATATATTACATATATGTGTATTATATAAGTAATATATAGATATCTGCTGTGTCGTATAAAATCACGTCTCCGTACCTGTGCTAAAACACACGGAAACAAGTTAAGTCATAGTTTTTAAAAATAGTTTCATCTAGGTGCCGCACAATAAAGACAAATTAAAATGCGGAATACAGAAGAAGAAGAAGAAAATGGTCTTGCTATATGCAAAAATGCTTTTAAAATCGTATTGAAGTTTGTTTTAATTTTAGTATGTTTCCATTCAACTTTTTTTTTTATCATACATATTTCACATTATTAAAAATACAAAAAAGAAATGATAAAATTCAAAATCTAATATTGATTGCACTATGGCCCAGAGAACATCAGAGTTCTTCTAGATTTCTTTATCATAGTTTCATTATTTTTGGATATTACTGGTATAACAATACATTAATAATTACCGATGATGTTGGGCGGGGATACGGGTCCATCTCCATGATCTCTTCTCCTGGAGTTTTGACATTTTTTTTCCGAGCCCGTTTCCCTGCCTTGGATATCGAATTCGTCCATCTGAAGATTTTTCCGATCAGTCGTAAAAAAATAAAATAAGTACTTCTTTAGAAATGGCTACAGCAAACTTGATAGGTAAAAAGTATGAAAGATAGCTGCCTGGTGGCAATCTCTTCAAAGTGAACGAAACCCCTGGAGTATCGAGGATGGAGAAAAAGCTATAACAAGGAGGCCGTAACGAGAACTGTTAGAAAGCACTTTTAAAACAGGAAAATGATGAAGTTTTCACAGCTAATAATGAAGCACATACATATATAAAAATGTATTTTATGCATGGCCTTCCGACAGTTCGCATATAATTAAAATATTGAGGGAACAAAAAAATATTGACAGAACCCACTCTAAAAGAGTAATGTCAAACTTACTAAAAATAATTAGATGTACATATCAAAGTAATTGTTCGTATGTCGTTTTTCTGCTAAAAGGACATATTTTAAACAATTATTATATCTACATAAAAATCACACAAAGTTTGCAAATATCCATCAGACAAGTAATGTTAATTGTCATGAGAGAAAAAAAAGAAAAAAAAAATTATATGTATTTTTAATAGGAGTTACTTCCCTTACACCACTATCTAGGTATGCAACACGTATCGTCACAACATCCTAACAAAAACTGCCGGCACATGGAACTCTCCAGTACCGCCTGCCTGGAACATTAATTAAGGATTAAAACAAAATCCAATAATAAGTATAGAAAGTACCAAAAGTTTGGGGTTTTTTAAACAGGAAAACCCGGAAGTTTTCATAAATATAGCAGATAAAGATTCAACAGTTTGCATATAATTAAAATATTGATTTTATTATTTTTAAATTGACAGGTTCCATTTTTTAAAGATTAATGACAAATTATTGCCAACATTGTGCGATTTAATATTACAGTAGAACGCTTAATATGAAAGAGAAGAAATTCAATATAGAAGGAAATATAGAATATAATATATTTTTTCAATAAAAATGAGGGGAGGGGTATGTTGCTATACCCCGGTCATACACACAAGCCTTAAGGCGTCACAAGTTAAACGATTTTCAAGAAAATATATTCCTACAAATATCACTACATAAATGTTATAAACGTTTAGTGGAGCTTACCAACAGAGCTGGTATTGGAAGTACGGAAAACAAAGACCAACTTCGGAAGGCAATTGACGAAACTGTCCGCAATGGAAGTATACGAGTTTTCAATTTTCTGATATATCACTGAAACTAATGGAACACCAAAGAAGGCAGTATTGAAACACAGGACTATCACTTTATACATAATTTACAGGGCAATCTTCTATACTAACACGTAAATATACACCGCATGTTTTAAATCTTATCATAACAAAAGATGAAAAAGCTTGTATCAAACATTAAATACAAAAGTCCATTAGGAAAAAGTGATCACCGCGTGCTTCTGTTGTTTGAGCTTGAATGCAATGCTATCTTTGAATGTAGAAAATTGACCGAAATGTTGTTGCAAAAAAGAAAATTTTACGATTAGTTAAAAATAAGTGTAGAATGAACTTTTACCGAATTCGGAGAGTTTAGAGAAAAAAAAGTTTGAAGGAAATTGAAGAAAAATTAGTATCTAACTAAGTCGTCTGGATTACCTCTCTTCAGAAAAACAGGAAAACTCTCGCATTCTAGAAAAGTTGCATACGAGAACGAGACATCGGTTCGAAAGGAGTCAGAAATCGGATGAAAAAACAACCAAAATTAAGGAGGGAATTTGAACACAGCTTAGCGATAAAACCAAAAACAGACCCAAAAAAACTGGCAAAAAACACATGTTTTTGATTTGATTTAAAATATGTAAATACGATATTACCACTATGTATCTGCTGTCACTATAAAAAAACATTGTATATTGTTTATAAGGAAGAGGACGTTATCTAAGTTATAATAATAATAATAATATAATTGGAGGTTCTTATATACCGCTTTATCACAACCTAGTTCGTAGGTCGTCCCAAAGCGGTTCACAAATTATTATCCGTGGTTATAGGGCCTTTGCAACTAGCCAGTACATTTCTCAACTCCCTGGGGAGCATACAGCCGGAGCTGCCATTTCGGCGCTAACAGCTAGCATTCAACAATTCTAGCACTGCCCAACCACGTACTCATTTACAGCTGAGTAGACTGGAACAAGCGGAGTAAAGTATCGTGCTCAAAGATACAACACAGTTGGCCGTGCCGTGACTTGAACCCGCAACCCTTCGGTCACGAGCCCGGCGTCCTACCACTGGACTACCGTGCCTCCAGTTATATGACTTGTGTCCAATTCTTTTCGATTATATCAAATAAAATATTATAAACTAAAGCGCAGAGGATGACGCACTCACCTCCCACCAAGGCTGCCAGGGTTCGATTCCCCAATCAGACGTGGAAAGGTATGGGGTCACCTGCCCAATCAAGTGGATTTTCCCCGGGTACTCCGGCTACCTCCCACATTAAGAACATATCGAATCAAATAGGCCTAGTTAAACTTTTGGAGTACCACAAGGATCAGTACTTGGTCTCCTTTTGTTTTTTATATTTGTAAATTATCTACCTAAAACATTTCCGATATCTACTTATTTGCTGATGACACGAACATTTTAAAGAGAATGACCAAACTCGACGACAAAGACTCGCTACAAAAGGATTTAGAGTTAATTTAAAAACGGAGGTATAATGGCTACGTAAGATGCATCCGGAGAAGTGGAAATATGTATATTGGACGATCCAAGGAATCAAAGAATGAAATATCAAAACATCATACAACACATACAAGTAAAAAAATACTAGAAACATCTGTTTCGGAAAAGGCCATCGGTGTTGTCATTGATAAATTGTTAAACATTGAATTACATATAAACGAAAAGGTTAAAAAAGAGAAAATCGATGCTTGTAGGTGATTATCACAAGATCATTTAAAATTTTGGATTTCACAACATTCCTGTCCCTCTTCAAATGTCTTGTGTAGACACGGTTTGAATACGTCGGAGCAGTATGATCACCGTACAAATTATAATATGTAGACAAACTGGAAACCGTACAATGTCACGCTACGAAATATCTACCGGGGATGAAGGTCCTAGAAAATCCTATTTAACATTATGTATTGGCGGCTTCGTGGGGATATGATCGAAATGTATAAGATAGTGAACAGAATTTTATAACAGAAAACCACGTAACTTTCTTAAGCTTTGGGGTGATGAAACCATGTGATGAAACCATACGAAACGTCACAAGAGGACACTCAAAAAAGATTTCCCCATGTCAGTCAACAACATCCCCGAGGAGAAACTATTTTACACATCGTGCTAGTCAAAACCTGGAGCAATCTTCCGGGAGACATTGTTTCCGCTTCAAACACAAACACATTTAAGAACAGAATAGATAACCTTTGACCGAATGAGGAACTTTTTAACTATTGGGCAAATGTAAGTAACTATGAGCTTGTTTTTAATTTGTAAGGGCCGCGGTGACCAAGTCTGACATTCTGCTACCACTAGCCCTCCACCACTGGGTCGCGGGTTTGAGGCCTACGTGGGGCAGTCGCCAGGTACTGGCCGTAGGTCGGTGGTTTTTCTCCGGGAACTCCTGCTTTCCTACACCACAAAAACCTGGCACGTCCTTTAATGACCATATCTGTTAATAGGACGTAAAACACAAACAAACCAAAAACAAATTGTAGGTTGTTTAATTTTCAGTCCTGTGTAGAGAAGCTCTATCGGTTCGTTTATTGGAAACTAACTTTATACTTAAATTTAACGGTGAAAAACTTGAACGCCTTCTCCGAAAGCTCTCTAACCATTAACAAATATGACAGTAGTCACTTCATTATGTTAATTCCATATAAAAAAATATTGGTTGCGCCCGTAATCTCCCGTCCACAGACGAATGCATAACGATAGCTCATGTATGCACAGTATTGGCGGCGTCTAGCATAAGCTATGGGAATGCGTTACTGCTTAACTGCATAAAGTCATTGGTATAATCTTTTGAAGCATACAGCTTCCCGTCTCGTTACGTTCACGTTCCCTTCAACCCCCGGAATATGTCATGGCAAAAATCGAGTGCACAGTCATAAAGNAGCTATTTTATTAGTTTCAGATGAAAAATTGAAAAAAAAAAAAAAAAGCTATGCTGATACCTGTCCTTTGTAATTTACGGATGAGCGTCACCCGGCTTCGAAGCCGGTCAGTTTTACCATTACTCTGCCGCGCAATTCTTTTCATGTACATCAAAGGATAAAAAACACCTCGTCTATTTATATCATCCACAAGGTTGCAAGTACCTTTAATTCTGTCATGACATATTCCCAAGGTGCAGAAAACCTAAGAGAGTGTAGCACCTTGAATTTCCAGGATTGGTCTTCTTACTAGTGTGCATACAGGGAAAAGATTACTCATAACACCCTTCTTCTGGTCTTTGGGTTGGCTATCAAAAGAATACTACTTGGATATGGACTTCTTTGAAGACTTTCGGGGACATGACAGAAATTCTCTAGTTTACCTTACTTGTGTTACAGTTATACTTTCCAAAAAGACCAATGAGGTTACAGTTTTGTTGACTCTTCCAAAAAATGCACTGGCTGTACCAATGTTTCCAGAAAGCAGCATCCTTAACTTTTTGTTTTCATGTAAATCAACAAATGTGCATCCATTGCATTTTTCAATAATATCAAAATTAACATGTCATACAAATTGGGGTTGTGTTTCTTAAGAGTTCAGTTACCTAAACATTTGTCTCTGCAACTTTTCTGCATTTTTTAGAATTATTATTCATGAAAATGTGTAATCTCCAGAAAATGTTTACATCATTCAATCTTTAAAAGTTATCAATCAACATTTCGAACATCTTCAACCATCTATTAAAATGTACACTATCAGTTTTTAGGTTAACTCAATAGTTCTGAAGGCCTGACTGCAAGAATTGTATGCAGTTATATTCTGTACAAGTCACAAAGTCCCTTTTGATATAGCTTGTGTGATGACACAGCACACTGAAAGGAAACTGTCAAATTTGAAGGAATCATTTTGAAATTGTTAAATAAAAGTATATAACTGTCCTGAGTATATTATGGTGGAAGATATCCCTCCAATTACAAATAAGGTTCAACTCAAATGGGCTTCATGGGTACCTCGCTCCTTGCATATCAAAGTTTGATGCCCATTCATGAAACAGCAGCTGAGATTTGCTCCAGAAACCATTATGTACTTCAGATCGAAGTCTAAGGTCAAATCGAGGTCACAGTGACCTCGTTTTTACTTTGTCAAAGTGGGGGTATACAAATTGTTTTTAATCTCACCAGGTTTTATCCAAAATTTTGCCATCCTCAAATAAATGTTGTGATCAAACCAGTTACTATTAGCTTTTCATGCTGTATGACTTGCATCAAAATTTCTTTTTGTAACGAAACTTATCCTGAATTTGTAGCTGCTATTTTTTTGGTAAGATTTGTTGATTGTGTCTGTAACTCATTAAAATATTTACCAAAGACAGCAACTGATACAGAGAGAAATTACATGTCATACTCATGTAAAGATGACCATCTTCTACCCAAAATATAAACTAAAGATAATGTACCAGGAATTGGACTCTGTGGGATCCTTGCAAAATCACAAGAAAACATCAATTCATTCTTTTAATAAAACATTTTATTAATTTGTTCTCACAAAGTCAATCAATTTATCAAATCTATAACTTAAACTATAATAATAAAAAGAAGCTTATTTTGTAGACAAATCAATAAGTGATGATGACAACTGTGGACCGGACCAAGTTATAGCTATACCCATATAACATGTCGTCACACCCACTAACCATGTGACGGTTGGCCACACCCACTTACCATGTGACGAGTGGCCACACCCACTTACCATGTGACCACACCCCTATTTTTTTTGTCATTTGGCCACACCCACAAACCATGAGACATGTTGCCACACCCACAACCATATGCATCTGGCCACAACTACACCAAAGTGAAGAAATGTGGCCACCTACACATCGTGTCATTGTGACATGTGGCCACACCCTTTATAATGCGACGTGTTGTACCTACTTTTACTGAAGTTGATGAATGTAAATAAAGGATTTACCTCAATTGAATTATCAATTAAATTAATTTTCCAAATACAACAGTTTTTCAACATATTATCTATTCTTTTGTGAAAATTTATGAAATTAATCTAATCCAAAAGCTCAATTTTTCAAATATATATCTCAATGGAAAAAGGTGAAAATATTCATTATCTCAAAGTTTAAAAGTCTTCATGATAAAGTTTCATTATATGGCAGACATGAGTACACAAGTCTTGTTTGTCATGTCAGCTGAGACCTGACCTTAGCAGTTATGACAACCAAGTTCATCCTCATGTTGTCATGACAACAGAGTACTGAACTAGGCTGTCATGACAACTAAGTATTGACCAAGCTTGTAATGAAATCACGAACCATCCTAGGATGTTATAACTATCAAGGACAGGCCTAGGTCGTCATGACAACAAAGTACAACCTAGGTTGTCATGACAACCATGCACTGACTTTGGCTGTCATGACAAGTGAGCACAGACTTTGGTTGTCATGCCAACTGAGAACTGACCTCTAATGTCACAATAAAAACAGATGAAAGAAAGAAAATATATAGCATTGAGTGTTATCAAATAAAAAATAAATTTGTAGCTTTTTCATACTGAAGTTTTTAAATGTACTTCATAAAATAGAATACATTTTATCTGGTATTCAAATTTTCAACCTGCAATTGCTTCATCATCATCCAAGCAAATCACATTTGTCATACATTTCTCATCATTTCTCATTATTTTCCGGTGATTTTCTGAAGACAGAACATTTTGTAGATTAGGTAGGAATCAACATATACTCATGTTTTTATCTGGCACAACAAGGATGCTTTGTATCAATGATAAAAACTTGTCGGGTACAAAAATGAAATAAACAACGGGTATACATGCTGCAATATAACTATGGTAACAAATGCTGTTTCAGCATCAACAACAGAAAACGTAAGGTGTGACGAGGACTATTTGTAGAATCTTGTAGCTTCAAACAGCAGCTAAGGTTCGTGACGAAACTCAAGCCTCAGTTTCATATTCACTGTTCAAAATGTCTATCATAATAAAAAAAAAAAAAAAAATACCGTATAAATAATAATCGATAATGATCTACCTATAAATTTTGTTTACATATACAGCATATATCTCTATAAACAGGGCAGTTACATGACGAGGCAATGACGAAGATTACGCGAAAATAATGGGACATAAGGCTCTACAGGGGAAGAGGCATAATCATTATAGCATTTAGCCTCGGTGTCCGTTAGCAAAACAATATATGAGATCAAAATACCATGACAACAGAGTCAATGTCAAGTGGGACATAAAAATAGATGTAGGTACCATGGCAACTAGTGTAAACATAAATGCACCATTCCTTGCGTCTCTGTACAATGGCAGTTGTGTCAGGCTATTGACATTTACAAACAGCAAATAGGCACAATGAAATTCAGAAAACATCAAATCACTGTGTTTTTTTTAAAAAATAATCTTGCAGTTTTCATGTATTTTCAAAAATACCAGAAGAATTTTTTTTATGGCATTAAAAGCTAGAAATTTACATAGTTTTTACTTTTCACATCTGATAGCACTACCTTTTTTATTAATTGCATTGTACTCAAAGGACTAGTTGTAATAATAGGAAGAAGACAAGACACATATGCAAATTTAACTAGTGAAAAAGACACCATTTTATGGTGGGGAAATTATGAGAACAAAACGTGGTTTACACAACTGGCAATTTAAAATTATTTGTGTTCGTACTTCGAGTGATTTTGATAAAATAATCAACAATCGTTATGAATTATAAATGTAGATTTAAGGGGAGATAACTGTAATATTAGAGTGCAGTCTCATATTCAAGTGACAAGAAAATTTTGCAGCATTGGACATGTGGATTTCAAAAAAATAGTATTTGATCTGACAGCCGTATTTCTAATTGTTCATGAAGAAAAACAGATATAGGTAAAACAAAATTAAGAACAAAAAAAAGTGCATTTGTTTTGTGATTAATTCAATATTTTTACATGTACAGATATAATAAATTTTAATTGACTCTACATATTCACATGATTTATAATATACTTTTTTTGTAAAATAACAAGAAACAAAAAGTCACAGACAGACTACCTACATAAAGATACATGGATATAACTCGGGGCTAGAGACAAGAGGTTATAATGCGAGCAGCCATTAGTCAAATCGATGTACAACATCTTTGTCATGGTGACGTAATGGCTGCACACAGTCCTCAGCGGCACCATGAATAAAACTGTTTTCTAACAATTTTTAGCAGTATTATTACTCGGAGAATTAACTTATTTCCTCAAAAATAAAATAAAATATAAATAAGCAATAATAATGTATTGGAATTTAAAATTCATCATATTTTTTCCCCTTTCTTTAAACAATATTCTTGAACTTTTATAAAAAAAAAACCTCATGTTCATGAACCATGCAACTCTTAACAAATTTTACGATAGGAAATCTTTTTTTTAGGTACAGTTTGGACACAACGTTGAAAAAAAAATTAAAAAAATCTTGTTCATGTTTGAATGGTACATAAAATAAAACAATAAAAATTTGTTGAAGAAATAGACCATAATATAATTAACAAAACACAAAAATGGAATAAATATGGAGAATATGGTTTCCTAGTCGGTTTCCATAAACAGCCATGTTCTACAACTGAGTAGCAACTACTCAAAGGAAAGCACCACAGTGCCTTTATAATGTGGTCCGGGGAGAAGCAGCGTTGTACTTGGAGGGAAGCACCATTGTGTCTATACAGTGTCTAAGGGAGTAGCAGGTTTTATACTCAGAAGGAAGCACCATGGCGCCTATATAAGGTGTCCCAGTGTGCACCAGCTCTTCCCAAGGTCGTAACATTTAAAACAATAACAATTAACAAAATATCATCATGTCATTCTAAAAAAAAAAAATACTGAGACAAACAAAAAAAAGAAGAAGTTCTGGATGATATATTAGTAGATCTTGGACCCAATATTGGATAGTTACATTGATGCGATTGGTGAAAAACCTCCACCAATCATGTAGTAGTATGTAATATATAAGTTAAACAAATGATTATGATTGGTTAGGCAGTGGAACAAAATTGAACCAATGAAGTGTGGTCCTGTCTAACTTGCTTTAAACACAAAACATAGTAATTTTACTCTAAAAGACACATACATATACTATACATACATTGTAGATACTGTGTTAAGTCCCTTCTGTGGACATCGTCATGGCCATGAAAATACATAGTTATAAGCGACGAGTATATATATATTGCTATTTTGACTGGCTGGATGGATCTTATGGTGGACCGTGGCTGGACAAGCACTATCACAACTAACATAATCACCTTGCATACACAACCTGTCTCCCTGTACATAAACCCAACCCTCTGCACCGTCCCTAAATATACATTCAACCAACCCATCCCTGGGTACCCATCCCCAAATCTAGCTATCCCTGGGTACCCAGCCAAATATCTATCCAGTCCTGGTTTCCCATCCCAAATTCAAATGCAAGTATCCAGCCAAATACCTACCCTACCCCAATTTGTCCATCCCCCCAAACTACCCCAATCTTCAGTTACCTTTTGTGTCCCCACAAAATAGTGGTAACCAACCTGTTACATTATCTACCCACCCATTCACTACCCAACAGTCAATCTACTAGTGTAACAACACAAATCTATTACAAATCTACAGACCATCTAGCACCATGTCACTATGGCAACACAACTCGGCACTATACCTGCAGTCAAACATTTGTCCTACTCAGAGTAAGTGAGGTCAAACACTCGTCAGACATAGAATCATTAAGGTCAAACACACATCTGACCCAGATGAACTAGTCAAATAAAAGTTTGTCTGACCCACAATAACTGTTGTGTTCTTGGCAAGGAGAATTTGGAATGTCCATAACATGTTATCGTTGGTGCAGCAGAAAGGTGATAACTGTCATGTTGTGTCCGATGGCCTTTGCTTGTTCAATATGATGTTCATGAAGGATTCTATCACTACAAGGTGTCATGTTATATCACTATATAAACAAAGAAGGATTACACAGATTTGAGGCCCCTTCCATAACGAATCACAAATCCTTTCGTTCTCTTAAATACAAGTTCACCAGTATCTTGTATCATTTCTCTCGTTCATCTTGCTGCCATTTATGTCTTTAGAGAAAATATAACGATGATGCACTGGAGACTATGATGTCGTTGCGGTGGCAGCGGTGGGATGGAGGCCGAGTCCGGGTCTGAATAGTGCGGAGCCCCCCGGTAGTGACATGGGCGTGTCTAGGCTGACGTCCGACAGGTGCTCCATTGTATCACTGTAGTTGTCATTGTCACTACTGTCCCCCTCGGGACCTAACTCTCCAAGCATGCCTGGGTCCATACGAGATGATCCGTTCATACCGTCAGTTCCAGCCAATTTCTGCTCCCCCTCGAAACTGGCATTGGGTGACTGTTCGCCTACAAAAAAAGTACAGAGGGTTTGTTTTAGTATAATGTAGGTAACTTGAATCCCAAAACAGATAATTTTCAGCACTTATAGAATATGTGTATCCGGGAGTTAATTTTAGTCGGCATGAGTATTAAATACTTCCCTCTAATCTGCATTGTACATCTAGAATTTATTTTCAATGACTCGGACGTCACTGGTGACAGATGAAAGCTGTCACCATCAGTATTTTTTAAGTGTCAATAATTAAAAGTTTAATTCTATATACAGGAAATAATCTACTTCAATGTACTTTCATAGGTGGAAGGTTTTCTCTTTACTTTCAGACACTAGATATTTACATTGACATTACTTGGTTTATTGTACAATATCTAGGAATTAACATTTACATAATTATAAATCTGATGTAAATATCACTAAATTGTAAATAATTACCTAGCAGCCCTTCCACATAGGTAGTGCCAGATTCCCCATACCAAACTCGCCGAATGTCCTGACGCCTCGACCGCATCAAAGACTTGTACTCCGAAATCCGTAACTTCTTGCCATCAACTATACATGTGCGTTTTGGACGGGGTCTGTGGAAAAATAACACATATATATATTACAGGTTAGGTACAGACAACAGAATAAAGAGCTAGCATTGTCTCTTAGTGTTTTTCCGAAGAGAAGCATTAAACGTTAAAAGCATCAAATATTTTCAATCTAGTAAAATAGTTTTCTCCGTTAAAAGTCTGTAAAAGACTATTGTCTTATTTTACTGAAATAAATCAAACAGATACCAAACATATTACACATAATTCACGTAAACAGATTCTAGGTCAGGTATATCAAGCATCATTTGTGGTCTAGTTTAAAGAGTGAAAACAGACATCAGGTTTATCATTCACTTTTCATATGGTAACAAATCAAAATTTAAATAAAATTTTAGAAAATTTATTTCAATTTCGAAGAAGATTTTGAAACATTTTAAATGCATTTCTATAATTTAAATTAAGAACTTCCAAGTTTATACCATAATTCTAATAGCTAAAAACATAAACACACAACAGGTGATGTTAGTACCTGTATCGGTAGTCAGGGTGTTTCTCCATGTGTAGTTTACTGAGACGAGACTGTTCTTCGTAAAATGGCTGCTTCTCTGCGTTGCTCATGGCCTTCCATTTAGCTCCTACAACAACAAAATTTACATCAAAATAAGATAACAGGCATTTGTTAGTCAAATTTGTACTGGGCAATCCTTTTTTTTCTTATTTGAGATTCAATTTAAGAAAATTAGTACAATATCAGAAATCTAATCAACTTGATCATAGAAATATAAATCCAACCAAACAGTATTGAACTTTTATTTTTTTTGTGTGACCAAAATTTGAAAGAACAGTGCATGGATGTGAATGGATATTTAAAATAAACGCAGAAACCAAAGCTTAACAGGATGATCCCCTTAGAAGCTTAATGGGTTTTTTAAATGTTTCAGAACAATTTCTTTTCTTTTTTAATTATGTGAAAAATAGAGAGAAAAAACGGGGAAATCCTCTAAAAAAGAATAAGAATCACATCCCTGTCTTGAAGACACGATCCATCCACGAAAGTGTCAATTTACGGGCGTTGTAACTCACCAAGGATTTTACTGATATTGGAGTTGTGCATATCAGGACAAGCCTTGAGGATCTTCCTTCGTTCCTCACGAGCCCAAACCATGAAGGCGTTCATTGGTCGCTTGATGTGAGGTCGAGTGGGGTCATTCTTTTCCTTGTTGGAACGAATTATCTTGGCACCAAACATCTTACCTGCAATGAAAAATACACAATTAATTTCATCTCAAAGTTGCATATTTTTACATTTAAATAGTAAGGAATCTTTTATTTTTTTCCCCACAAGACATATTCCATCAAATGATAGGAAGAAATACATTATATTTAAATTTAAGATCAGATTCCATACATGATTATTTCTTGTTTGTGTTATCACTGTGACTCGTTGTTTGGTAAAATACCAAAGAGAGCACATTTACTTTGTAAGTGTTGGACATAAGCACCGTTGTTAGGGGAATCGTCGGGGGAGTTATCTGCCCGGCCCTTCATGCTTTGGTTGACCTGAGGGAGTTGTGGGAAGGCGGCTCCGGTGTAGAGTGGTAGGTGGAGGCCGGGGAACACTGGTCCACTCACGCTGTGTTGTAACTGACGTGCTAACACCTCCTGTACCAGGCTCTCCTAAGTAACAAAACAAGTAACAACCATTAATTTGACTTCTTGGGTAACACAAAGTTACAACTACAAGAGATGATCTCCTAAGTAACAAAACAAGTAACAACCATTTATATGACTTCTAAGGTAACACAAAGTTACAACTACAAGAGATGATCTCCTAAGTAACGAAACAAATAACAACCATTTATATGACTTCTAATGTAACGCACAGTTATACACATAGTAACAAATATAAGAGATTTGTCTTTCTATGTAACACAGGGTACCAAACACATAGAATGATCTCACACAAAGTATAGGATAACACTAAGTTTACAGATAGCATGTTATGAATAATCTAAGACATTAATTGTTGAGATAGAAAAGAAATAATTTGGTAAAAAGGTAGCTTTAGTTATTCCCCTTTGACTGATAAAAGTTGTACACCACCATCACAACCTGTTTTTTTTCCCCCTCCTTCAATCTTTAAAATGATTAGTGTTTCATAGATAAAGTTGCACTACAGCAGTGGTTATACCTCTAAACTCCCAATCTGATGCACCCAACCCCAGTAAATGTTTGGGTTTCTACACAGACCCGCTAACACAACAATTATCTTAGAGCAATCTCCAAACTGTCATGGTTATTCAACACACCCCTTCACAAGCCACTTCCTGTTACCATGGCGATGCTAGACCAAGATATCTCAAGAAATTTCGGAGATGATTTCAAATCAGGAGCTACCACATTTATATAAGGAATCAGGAAAATCAGACACATACAACGTTTTTATCTGGAACCGAGATTTCCGCGAATCTTAATTTCATGTTAAATGGCTGACGTATCATATCGGACGTGTATATGTTCATTATGGGGATGAAAAGATAGTAATTATTTTAATGATAATGCCTACAGGTCTCGCTAGTCTGTGTCAGGAAGGCGCTTCACCACATCGTATCTACAGGTTTCCTTAGTCTGTGTTAGCGAGGCTCTTTACCACATCATGTCTAAACTATAACCAGCATTCATAAAATAGACCACGATTTTTCCAAAGATACCGAAACTTTTGAATATCAAATTTCCAGTTATCAAAGAGGGTATGCATTGAGAAGGAGATTTATATTTTTGACTGAATGGGTTTTTATAGCCACTCTCAGCATTGGATGACTTCACATAAACATGCTTTATGTATAAAGATTTGCCCCCGTTTATCCCATTTCCTGTACCATTGCACATTGCAGTACTCCAATGACGTAGGGAATTTTAAAATTCAAACACTTTGCAGGACCCCCTGTACAAAAGTTCTGTGTCTGCATTATACTTATACTTTTTGTGACCATGATCTATACCAATTTTTTTTTCTTTCGAATATAACTTTTCTAGCTCCAATCTTATGCATGCCTAAAACACTGCATTGAATAATAAACAAGAGTACCGCGGGGCGGAACAATATACGCCTGTCGAATGCCATATAGTGTTGTATACTTTCTTACATTGAAATAAGATCTGCATCATTCTAAGAGTGGTTAGCTGACATGCTATACAAAATGTAGGAGAAAATCTCCGGACAAAAAATCAAATACTGAAATGAACAAAGGGCAATAAGTTTTGCAAAAATTGTCGAATCAAAATACTTTTAAGAGAGACATAACTTTATATCATGGTTATAATGTATAACAAGTTTCAAAGAGATCGGTCGATATATGTAGCAGGAGTTTGTCGGACAAACAAAAGTTTACGCCGGCCGGCCGGACAACCCCATACCATAATACTCATAAATAGGTGAAAAAAAAAAGTACAATAGTGTAATTGATCTTATGTAGGCCTAATCAAATAAGAATTGATTATAAATTTGAATATGAAAAGTGGTTGCAGTATTTACCTTCTCTAGTTCGGAATGTGATTTTCCATTTAGAAGCGAAGAGTGGGCGGACAAACTGTTGAGGACTGCGGACACTGGGAGATGGTTGGCCATCATGTATGGACTCGCCACATACTGGGGGAGGCCAAAGGGTGACCGTGCCTGCATGAATGATGTCACTGTGTCTGTAGGGGGCGTTGACGTTGCCACCTGGCGCCGGTGGTTGCTGTGGGCAGGTGGGGGCGTCACTATGGGTTCAGGATGGCCCCCATGTCCTACACCATAGCCATTGTCCATAAGCTCTAATTTAAACTCTGCCTTCGGTTTTGTGAGATTCAGAGGGATTTCCTGTCCGTTGGGGACAGCGTGGTGCTCGTTCCAGGCCTGGGCGGGGCTGGCATTGTGAGGACTGCGTTGCCGTGGCGATGCCTGGGAGTGGGGAGAGGCATGGTAGGGAGAAGCAGCCATTGGAGGAGACACAGACATTCTCTTCATTGTATCCATGGTGACAGGAGACGAACTTTTTGATGATGCATATGATGAATTCGCAGATGATTGAACTGAAAATACAAAAGTAAAAAAAAATATATGGTAAATTTGTTCAGTAAAAGGAATAGAAGGTGTTTTGAAGTTGTACAACCACAATTATGTTTTTAACAGAAAGTTGTATAACATATTCCCTTTTACATTGGAATGACAGCTCTACATTGTTTACCTCGTACAATTACCACTGTACAAATTCAACTAGGTAAAAAATGAATTGTTCTGTTATCAAAAATGTTTTTTTCTTCCCCTTCACACAATCAGACAGGAGCAAAGAGGCCAGCCTGACTACACAGAAGTGAGAAGGGAGCGACAGAACTATCAGCCGATATCTACAGCCAGTGTGTGGTCCACCCACCTCACCGAAGTGCCCACTTCTAACATTATAATTGATCACTGGAGAAATTCAGGGTGATATTCAAACATGGCAAGTTCCTCCATCTTACTTCTGGGTAGAGATTAGGACATAGTTGATAAAAGTGGACCTATTCCTTCTATAGTAAAGGTACTTGCATAGACAAGTAGTTAACAGGTAATACGTTCTCTGATGTATTTATGGGTAGGGAACAGGCAATGAGTTCTCACCTGTATCTATGGGTAGGAAACAGGCTATGAGTTATCACCTGTATCTATGAGTAGGGAACAGGCAATGAGTTCTCAACTGTATCTTTGGGTAGGGAACAGGTTATCAGTTCTTATCTGTATATATGGGTAGGGAACATGCTATGAGTTCTCAACTGTATCTATGGGTAGGAAACAGGCTATGAGTTATCACCTGTATCTATGAGTAGGGAACAGGCTATGAGTTCTCACCAGTATCTATGGGTAGGGAACAGACTATAAGTTCTCACCTGTATATATGGGTAGCTAGGGTACAGATCTTTAGAGAAGGTTAAATTGAGCTTTATCCCAGACTTAACAGGCTTGAAAGATGGGACACAGAGACTAGCTAAGACTGAAAGATGGGAACAGAGGTCATAGCTTTCAGAATCAAAGAATATCTAGAGCTTGAGGAGATGGATAGGAATCAGTGGACAGGGTTACGGGGACACCGGAAATAGCTCAAGTTTTGGGGAATTGGAGGATGGGAATGGAGGACAGGGCTTGAGTGTAGCCAGCTTCTGTGTGTTGAAGGTGGAGCCAAGTGGGTGGAAAAAAAGGCATCTACCAAGATATCTTGAAGTCTCTCTGGCCACTCAGACAACCAATAGAAAACAAAAATGAATGTAATTGTTTCCTGTTCATAATGACTAGCGATCAATTCACACCCGAAGATTGTGTCTAAACAAACAGCAACAACAATCTCACCATTCTCACAGTGAAGGCCCTGCTTATTTTACTTTTACACTTACTCCGTCTCCTGTCCCCTGACCTCTGTCTAGCAGACATCACGGGAGTGTCAAGGTTATCACAAACAATTTAGCCTGCCCTAGGACCAGAGTAAACAGGGCCTGCCTGATCAGGGGCCATGTTTACAGTGGCTGACTGGGCTGTCAGTGCTGGGACGAAGACTGACACTTTATAATATAATGTAAATAGACTACTACAACAAATGGATCCTGTCCCCCAGTCCCTGTGCTCGGTGAGGACTGACCTTTGACACCGCCTATAAATAGCCTCTTGTCTCCAGGAATCAGTATTGCAGAGCTTGAGATATTGTAACCATTTAATTTTCATTTGAACCCGTCTTACAAGCACTATGATTTATCGACAAAACGTCTCTTTGGTGAAGAAGAAAATTACTTTTCCCCCTCCGCTATTGTATATTGTTTTTCAACCTTTGTTTTTGGTATCAATCAATTTCTCCATGTTTCATTTTTTGTCTGTCGTGTAAATGTAAAAATAATAAATGAAAATACACGAATACTGGGGCAGATTCTGGAGCTGGGATTCCTTATCTACGGATTGGAGAAAAAACTAATGGTAGTCGTCTTCTACCGAGGTCCGACACATCGTTTGTTAGTGGATAAAACTGCCATCTAATATTTATCATTGGCAGGAAGATGTGATTGACTCAACCCCAGGAGCAGTATTGGAAGCTACATTTTTCAGATGTGTCAGCGCTTTCTTTGTTTGCCATCACTCATTGTGGCTGCATGGGCTGGTATCGCCACCATCCATCTTGTTGTCGTGGCGATAAGGCCACCAGAGTGTGAGGAATTATGATGGACATTATCACACCGGCACCGATCAGTGATTGACATAATTACATTCTCCAACAAAAAAATGACAAGATTTCGTCTCCATTTATCAACAAATTGGATCCCTCAATTTTTTGGGGGGGATACTTTCTCCAAAAGAGCTGCTTCAAGACAGACAGACAAGATTAACTTGTGTAGCCATAGAAACCGTTTTAATGCGGTGTCATGTGTACTTGCACATAGGTGCAATCTACGCTGGGGTTCAGTTTCTTGAATGACGAAATTTAAGAGTTATTGGGACATTTTGAAAAGGTGTTATCTAAAACTTATCACAACTGTAAAGTTAAACCTTCTGACTTCTGAAACTTCAATGACTGCGAGTCAAGACATTCCCAAACCCTCATCCCTTTCCATTCATACAATCACAAATCTGGTGCCAAACCAAACATTTTTATTTAGCTCCTGTATGCCAATGCACCGCAATATTTCTACACATTATAAAAAAACTATAATCTAGGATAAACAAAATCTACTATTTGGTTGATCTTAACTGATTTATCAATGAATTACAAGTATAATCAAATTGAATTGCTAGTTTAATAAAAGTGGAAGAGGGGAAAAAAATGGTTAAACATATCCTAGTGTAGTATTGAGGAGAGCTGAGCAGTTGATCTAGATCGATTAGAGGCTTGAATGACACAGCCGAGTACAACGAAGATGACACCAAGTTATCACAGTTCTGACAGTTGTGTGCGGACGGTGCCTCCTCTGCGATAATTTAAATCAATTTGGAGCAGCAATTATGACAGTGTGTCACAATCTATTATACTAAGTCATGTAGCTGTGATTGATCAGGTATTGTCGGCCATCTCTGTTGATCCCCCTTACATCCCTATCTTACGGCCCTCATCTCCTGATCACACCACCACGCTGTCACTGGAGACCGCTGGCCACGGAACATGTAAAGAACATCACTGCTAGATCAGATACGTAACAGAGAAAGCTGATTTAAATACAACTATAGCTGTCGGAGAAAATCTAGGCCGACACCAGACTTTTTCTTCAAATATGTAGACACTTTTTATTTTTTGGGGGGGAAATCTTGAAGAGATTTTGTCCTGTGTAAAATAACAATAAAGAAGAAAAAAATCAAAAGAATCTCGGATGATTTTCTTTGATATTTAAAATTAAAAAAATTCATGACAAGAAATGTGCTCCATGCATTCAACAAATTGCATTTCCCATGAAACATGTAGTAATTTGATCTGCCAGTGTTTATGACAATGAAACCTATGTTTTTTGTGTGTATAGAATTACTATCAAACCTCACCAGTACATGAAATTTACATTAAGGTTTGTGAAGTTATGCTTTAGTTTTGGTATTTTGGGGGGGTTTGGATTCCTATGATTCCAGTCCTGATTGTATCGGAGTTTTGTTCCGTCTCTCCTCAGTAGCAGGGCAACCATGTTTTATCCTGGCCTGACATGTTTAGTAAACACAGTCTCCGTGGCGATGGGGCTAGAACAAAGCACATCCTGTTATCCCAGTATGGTCCATTTCTTTCAACCAAACTCATTATGCTCAACTTCTTTACAAATGCTCTAATTCTCTTTTGTTTCTCAGCCGGTATATACATATATATCAGCCCTGAAGACTACCTGCTACTTAACACCTCAGCCTCCTCTCGTTACAGTCCTACAGCACTGCATCCAACCATTCCTAGCCCTTTACCATTAATAAACCAACGAAAATAATCGAAAAACTATAATATTTCGAATGCTCTTTTAACAAGGAAATTTTGTATGGGTGAGAACTACAAGTTTTGATATACTTAACCCTGCATCCACCCCTAAAGTCACATTTGAACCTTTCCAAATCAAGGACTGGGCAAGTCCAGTTTAGGTATATGTAGGGGTGAATGAGTTTAAATAAGATCTTCATTAAGAGTTGTCCATCACAACAGAGAACATCTTTATTTCATTTTGATTTAAACCTCTAAGTGTTCTGTATTTCTTTAATCATAAATTATAGAAGTACTCCCCTTGTATTATTCAATGACTTAGCTCCCCTAATCTACCTCTCAGGGAGGACAAAAGAGGCCAGCGTGGTTGCGGCTTACATGATGGAGACAGGCTTCACACTAGAGTCTGCTATGGTGGGGAGGGGGAGGAGGGGGGAGATCGAGTGACACCCAGGGGCTGTCTAATGACCAGATAATGGAGGGATCCAGTGTTTAGCATCATGTCCCTGTCAACACAATCTCTACTGGTCATCATCCAACATCAGTAGCTATAAAGCTAGTATACATTCTAAGCAGGCTCTGCATGAGGGCTGTTTGAGTGGTATAACCACAGAAGATAATGATACAGGTAAACTACAATTACAGGTATATTCTCCCAAATTGTCTGGTAGGAATGAATATGGTAATAAGATGAAGGAGATATATGTAATCAATTTATAAAATTAAAACTTTTCGTTTTTCTACAAATAATTCTGTTCCAAAATTTAAAGGCATGAATATGCAGTATCAAAACAGTAAACATCATTACATGTATATTACACAGAATATCTTTCTTACTGTTAGCTAAAGATAAAATAACTTGGCATTTACACTAAATAAAATGATGGCTATTTCATGCCCATGAATTTAGGTGTAGCATTTTATTCTTTCCCAGATTACTCATGTGCCGAGGTGATTTAAGAGAATCAGGCTGTCAGTATTTATTGTACGAACAATCATGTAGGCCCTTTGTGTAATCAAAGAAAACAAAAGATGAACATTGTAATAAAAATCAAAGATACAAAAGACTAAAAAAATTCAAGAGGCAAATTTCCAAAATGTATCCGATATCTTTGAAAATAAGTATTTCCAGTT